TTGCTAAGTTCCATAATCAAAATAATCAGTAAAGGGGCTGGGAAGGTGGCTCAGTGGTAGAGCGCTTGCCTTGCATGCCTGAGGCCCTGGGTTTGATTCCTCAGTACCACATAAGCAAAAAGAAGCTGAAAGTGATTCTGTGGCTCAAGTGGTAGAGTGGTAGCCTTGAGCTGAAGAGCTGAGGGACAGTGCCCAGGCCCAGAGTTCAGGCCCCATGACCAGACCAAAAAAAAAAAAATCAGTAAAAAGCAGGAGGCATGGCCATGTGGTAGAGTTCCAGCCCTAAGTTCGAACCTCAGTACTGCCAAAGGAAAAAGAAATGATGAGAAGGCACTGATTGCCCTTCTTTTCGCAGGAGAGCTTACCCACCCCAAATCACTCCCAAGATGTGCCTGCTGGAGTGGTGCCGCAGAGAGAAGTTAGCACAGCCTTTGTATGAAACGGTGAGTTCCTGCCTGAGGCCTGCCCTTCAGCCAACCACAATGCTCCCACCATGGGAGCCATTATTCTAGCACACCCACAATTTATATACTCAACTCTAAGCTGCTTGGCAAACCTTGCCCTTCATAGGTTGTGCAGAATTGCTGGTGGTAGGATCAATTACTGAATGAGCTCCCTTCAGACTTTGGCCTGCGTCCAGTTCTGGCAGACTTATCTTTGGATCTGGCCTCCACCAATAGAACACAGAACTGCATCCAAGACATGGGACTCTTGGAGTTGAAATCTTAAGATAGTCTTGTTTCACTTCCTTTGGTCACCATAGCCATGCCTTGTTGAGGCTGCTTTGTCTGTTCTGGCCCCATACATATGGTCTTGTGTCCCCTTCTACCAACATGACTTTGTGTGTGTGTGTGTGTGTGTGTGTGTGTGAGAGAGAGAGAGAGAGAGAGAGAGAGAGAGAGAGAGAGAGAGATGGTATTGGAGCTTGAACTTAAGGCCTTGCACTCTTATTTGGCTTTTTCACTCAAGGTGCCCTACCACTTGAACTACAGCTCCACTTCCATGCAAAGCAACTTTTGGGAAGCAAATCTAACCTCTGTCTCCCCTGCCCTCCCCAGTGCCTGTGAGCTCAAACCCCAGTCCTTCAGCACAGAGCACAGGGCCTCTCACATGCCTTGCTGCTGCAGGTCTCATCCACTCAGCTCTCTGCTCCAACCACATCACCTGATCCCTCTGTCACCATCCTAGTTCCCTCTTCACTCTATTGCCATCTGGTGGACTCTTCTTCTGGGGACACACGGACCATCTAGATGTCAGGAGGAGGAGGCCTCTGAGTGCACTCATGCACAACTAATTGCACTGATGTTCTCAACAGAACTCCAGATGTATTCAATGTCACTGTCAATTTGTATATCTGCCTGGGTTTCCTGGAAGATACATCAGACACTTTTGCATGGGAGGAGCATGTGATTGGGCAGCCTTCATTTGACTTGGGTTGATAGTACTTTCCTCTGTCTGCCTATGATGTCATGAGGAAGGTGGGCAGCCTGTTTCCTTTCCTCTCTCTGGATCAGGTCCAACGACCACTAGATCGCCTGTTCTGCTCAGTTGTCACTGTTGCTGACAAAAAGTACCAGTCCACCTTGTGGTGAGTTGCCTCATCAGAGAGTTTAAGGCTTGGGATAGGGGAACCTGAATGCAGCATTGGGCCTGGGAGAGTTGGGTGGATGGTTTTTTTTTTTTTTTTTTTGTCTGTCGTGGGGCTTGAACTCTGGGCCTGGGCACTGTCCCTCAGCTCTTCAGCTCAAGGAGAGAGTGCTCTATCACTTGAGCTACAACGCCACTTTCGGTTTTCTGGTGGTTTATTGGAGATAGGAGTCTAACGTCTCTCCTGCCCGGGCTGGCTTTGAACCGCGATCCTCAGATCTCAGCCTCCTGAGTAGCTAGGATTACAGGCGTGAGCCACCAGTGCCTGGCCGGGTGGATGGTTTTTGTGGGCATTGATGTCCCTGGATTATGATCTCTAACTTAATTTTGTTAACATCTCTGCCAAGGGTGCATAGAGTCTGGCCTCCCATCCTCTAGTCCTTTGTTCACTTGCCTTATTACCCCGTGCCTCATCTGCCCAGGGATAAGTCCAAGAAACTGGCGGAGCAAACTGCAGCCATCGTTTGTCTGCGGAGCCTGGGCCTCCCTGAGGGTCGACTGGGTGAAGAGAGTCCTTCCTTGAACAAACGCAAGCGGGAGGACCCTGACCAAGACCTCAGTGACCCCAGGGCTCAGGAGCCAGCACTGCCTGGGGATCTATGTAAGAAGTCCTTTGTGGCCTTTGGAAATGGTGAAGACAACCCCCTGGAAGGCTGGTGACTACTGTACTTGCCCTGGTTGCCCTTTCTACGGACCAAGCCCTAATATGACTGTGAGTGCAGAGCGCAAACCAAATGCCATAGGACAATTTGCTCCTGCCTTGCAGGAGTTAGAGGTCCATGTCCAAGCACAGGCTATCATCATGGAGCACCAGCCAAGGAGTGCTCAGGAATGATCCTTTCTCCTCTGATGGGTCTGAGTGGCAGGATTGTTTCTAGTGACCTGAGTACTTTCTTTGAAAAATAAGCTTTTCAGGCGGCCCCTCTTCAACTTGACATTGGTACAGTGCAATAAAGACACCCTCATCCAAGACTGCTTCAGTTTTGAATATCTTTAATAATGAGAACTGTGTTCTGACATAATTATTCTACTCTTACCCTCTATGCAAAACTAGAGATTCTCAAAGCCTGGTCCCTGCTCACCCTTATAGGAATGATGATGGTGGTTGGAGATAGGTTATCTCCTTTCAGGCCCACTGGACTTTGGTTCAACCAGGAAAGCCCAAGAAACCTTTTCTACTGAAGGGAAACTTAAGATACTAGACCCCAGCTGATTTTCCTGATTAGAAGTTCTGTGGAATCTAGGGGAAGGATTGATATTATGGAATGTGGTACATGTAAGGGACCAGCACAGAGGTGTTAGGGTAAGGAATTGGCCTGACTCCCAAGAGTTTCTTTTAAACCTGCCAGCTGCCTAGCAAAGCTCAGACCTGGTGAAGGGCCTGCCCTGGGCAGGGGACACTAGAGGCTGCTAAAGATTGCAGTATGCCTACTGCAATTCACAGGTTAAGCTATCCTCTTCCTCTCCCCTCTCCAGTCCCACTTTGGGCGGAAGGAAGTGGCAGAGCCTCTTTAATTTCCTCTTGGCTGCGAGAAGCAAACAAATGGGCTACCACCACATCTCATGGGGCCTCCCCCTCCCCTTGCTGGGAGGGGCGTTCTGACCAAAGGTCCCTGCCATACCCCACCCCCGCTTCCTCTGCTGTAAACATGTTGTGTGTCCTTTCTTTGCCAGCCTCTGTCTGGTGGAGGATTCCCCTCTAAGCCAAACCCATCTTCTCCACATCTCTCTGGGTCAGCCTGATGGCTCTGTAGCAGCCCTGTCCAGGGGTGAGACCTCTACCAACCAGAAAGCCCTGACCCTATTGGCCCTTCAGTCAAGGTTTTGGTGGGTGAGGCTTTGCTTTAGTCCTGGTGCTGCCACACCCTGTCACCCACACTTGCTCTTCTCTATAGATAAGGATACTTCACTCTCAGCTTCCTCTGAGAGTCCCTTGCCTTTTTGATCTTGGGCAGCTCACTTCTGGCCCTCTCTGCCCAGAAGCTCTCCTGTGAGAGTGGCATCAGCTACCTAAATGAAGCTGGCTAGAAAATAACAAGCTCTCTCAGTGATGGAAGCACCACATAGCCTATGGCATTTCATGTGGAAGCAGGTCTAACTTCCCAGACCAGTGATCTTAGAGGAAGGCCCCACCCAGAAAGAAGACACTCTTGGTCTAGTCTTAGCCACCAAGGTTTAGGCACAATTTATTTTTGTTTATTACTATTACTATTATTATTTTTGCAGGGGGAGGAGGGGAGTGGTGCTGGTCCTAGGACTTGAACTCAGGGCTGGGTGCTTTCCCTAGGGTTTTTTTGTTGTTGTTCAAGGCTAGCACCCTACCACTTGAGCCACAGCTCCACCGCTGGCTTTTTTGGTAGTTTATTGGAGATAAGAGTCTCTCAGAGTTTCCTGCCCAGGATGCCTTTGAATCACAATCCTCAGATCTGAACCTCCTGTGTAGTAAGGATTACAAGTGGGAGCACTGGTGCTCAGCAATTTCTGATTATTTTATTTTTTGTTGGTCATGGGACTTGAACTCTGGGCCTGGGCGCTGTCTGAGCTCTTCAGCTCAAGACAAGCGCTCTACTACTTGAGCCACAGCGCCACTTCCAGTTTTCTGGTGGCCCCCTCCAATTAACCACCAGAAAACTGGAAGTGGCGCTGTGGCTCAAGTGGTAGAACGCTTGCCTTGAGCTGAAGAGCTGAGTGACAGTGCCCAGGCCGAGTTCAACCCCCATAACCGGAAAAAAAAGAAAAAAGTCTCAAGGACTTTCCTGCCCCGGCTGGCTTTGAACCATGATCCTCAGATCTCAGCCTCCTGAGTAGCTAGGATTACAGGCGTGGACTACCGGTGCCCAGCTGTTTTTTTTTGTTGTTTGTTTTGTTTTTGATTGTTTTGTTTTGCTTTGCTTTGCTTTTGTACCAATCCTGGGGTTGAATTCAGGGCGTGAGCTCTGTGTCTGGGCATTTGTACTCAAGGCTAACATCCTGCGACTTGAGCCACAGCTCAACTTCCATATTTTTTTGGTAGTTATTTAGTCTTACAGAATTTCCTGCAAGCTGGCTTCAAATCTCAATCCTCAGATCTCAGCCTTCTGACTAGCTAGGATTACAGGCATAAGCCACTGATGCCCAATTTATTTTGCTACTTTGAGACCCTCTCCTGAAGCTCATCACATTTTAGGGACAAATGGTTTTGATATGACCATGGGAGGAAGAGTTTATAAGGCTAGAGAGGAAGACAGGGCTTCCAAAAATCCAGTAAGAAGACTTGGATTTGTAAAGTTACAAAGGAGAATGTCTTATGTCTGTACTCCCACAAGCTAGGATTTCCCAAGTGCTGTTCCTGTTTAGGACTCTGCCCAGGCTCTCAGACTGCCCTCTGGACCAAGTCCAAACCCCTCAGCCCAGCATGAGAGGACAAAGTACTAGCCTGTCTTCTTAGTCCTGTGCTGACTTCAGCAACTAGCCTTTTGAGGTTGTAGCTGCTTGGTCTTAATCCTGTCTGCCAGATTCTGAGCTACTCAAGGGCAATCCTTGTGTCCTCTCTGGCCACTGTTGGAAATTAAAGCAAGAGCTCGAGGTGAGGAGGTGCATAGCATGGAGAGGAAGAGCTTTTCTAAACTTTTTCTTCCAAGGCTCTTATTTTAGCCAGGGTGAAGCAAGAGCCTGAGCTGGACTAAGCTGTATCATGCCATGGCTCTAAGGAACTGAAGAGCCTTCAGCAGTGGGGCCTTAGCTGGTAAATAAATGGTTTTCACTGATTCTCAGGCCTTTCATTCCTGCAGAAGAGAGGGATGGTATACAGAAACCCCTGCAGTGTCTACCTTGGAGTTCAATGTACTGCACTGTCCCCCTAGGCATATATTTCACAGGTCTCCAGGATAAGTTAGATGACCAGCAGGAGCTTTGAAAGTACCTTGAAGGGCTGGGAATGTGGCTTAGTGAGAGAATGCTTGCCTAGCTTACATGAAGTCTTTGGTTCGATTCTTCAGTTCCACATAAGCAGAAAAGCTGGAAATGGTGCTGTAGCTTAAGTGGTAGGGTGCTAGCCTTGAGCAAAAGAAGCTCAGGGATAGTGCCCAGGCCCTGAGTTCAAGTCCCAACACTGGCCAAAAAAACAACCAACAACAACAACAAACAAAAAACATGGAAGAAAAGTTCATGGAACTAGGTCTTGGCCCTGTAACCTGGGGAAGGGGAGAAAAAGAGGTGAGTATATTGGTATGTGTGGGCAGGGTGGGATAGGGCAGCCATTGCTGCCTTTCTTACAAAGATTACTTGCTTCCTGTTAATGGTGTCTGCCTCAGCCTTCATTACTCCATATTAGAGTCTGAGTTTTACCCCAGATCAGAAACCCTGCCCATGATGTATTCTCCTGAGAACACATATGTACCACCAAGCATTTAACAAATGGGTTTTTCCATAGTATCTACAACTTCTTATGGTTCCTCCCCAATGAGGAGCTGACAATTCATTGTCTCTCTTCTACCTCACCTCCCCTTTGGCCTGACTGGCTCAGGCTCTGGTTCACAGAGGGGTGGGGTGGGGGGGCTAAAGGTCCATTTTTCTCAATCCAGATGACAACCTGGGTGACATATGGAGAGGGGTGAGGAGGAGGAGGAGGATGCTTTTAAGTTTTGTAGGAATGGAGGTGAGTTAGCTAAGCTTTGGTCAGTCGTGGGGCTTGAACTCAGACCTGCATGCTATCCCTGAGCTCTGGTGCTCGAGGCTAGCACTCTACCACTTTGAGCCAAAGTGCCACTTCCAGATTTCTGAGTGGTTAATTGGAGATAAGAGTCTCATGGGGACTTTTCAGCCCGGGCTTGCTTTGAACCACAATCCTTAGATGTCAGCTTCCTGAATAGCTAGGATTACAAGGCATGAGCTACCAGCATCCAGCGGCACATTTGAGACCTCTTAACTTGCACCCAAGTCCTTGAGACAGTGCCTTGAGTTTCTCCAGCAACGCTCATCAAGAGATGCTAAGCCCTGTGGACCCAGAGCCTGGGATGTGGAGCTGCGTCTCCCAACTCCCTGTGTAATCATGCACCTTGGAGGAGTCCTAAGTAAACAAGCCAGGCTCAGAGTCCCCAGACCCCAGATGGTATCTTAGGCCATCTCAGGGGAAGAGAGGCCCCTTGGGAAGGGAGCCAAGCGCAAAAAAACCGTTCTTCAGGCAGTGTCACTTCCTAGTCACTGGCAGCTATGGGTCTGATATCTCCTGCTTTCATAGCTATGCATCAGAAGTCATAAGCTGCGAGGGGTGTGTTCAGAAGTGACTTCCCTAGTCTGCCCAACCTGTAGCCAGGGACAGAACAGCTGGTCTGGCAACAAAGACCTGGCCTACATGGTAGGGGTACCGCCCCATAGGGGTGGGTTTGCGAGATGAGACACAACAACGCACAATACAGGTTTCCCTAGGCTCCACCACCAACCTTTCAGAGGCTTGGTCGAGATACCGCCACTGAGGTTAGGATGGAGGTATGTGGGTGTGGGAGGTGGTGTCCAAGTAATCCCGGGGGCCTTGATGCATTCCCTATACTCAACCTTACGGAGTAAATAACTGCCCCGCCACGCACCACCAAACTCCACATCCCAACGCTCCCGAGCCTCGACGTGAACTCCGCCCAATAAGGAAAGGGGTCTTCTCCAATTGGCCTGTGGTGGATACCCCAATCCAATTGGAGAGCTAAACCTCGTCTGTCCGTAGCAGTCACAGAGAATTACAGGCCTAACTACAGCTCCCGAGAGGAAGCGGGGCTCGACAGCGCTCGGTGCTCACGTGACTTCCTCCTCCGAGCTGCGGGGGAGTCGCGCGATAGGTCACCGAGGGGGCGGGGCCCGAAAGAGGGGCCGCCGGGCCTCCAGTGGCCTATGGGCGGCTCCACCGGATGGGAGCGCGACAGGGGGCGGGGCCAGGTGCGCGGCTCGGCGCGGGAGCGCGCCGGCGGTGGCGGCGGCCACAGTTGGGGGGCGGGGAACTTTGGCTCAGGCGACGGTGGCGGCTTAGGCACCCGCGACTAGCAGTGCTGGAGTTTCCCAGTGCGGCTCGGCGCGCGGCCAGCTTTTCAGTTCGGAACGGAGCGCGTGGTGTTGCGGGCCCCGCCCGGAAAGTTTGCCGTGGAGCGGCGACCTCTTGGCCGGCGCGGCCCGGCATGAAGCGGCGCTGAGGAGCCGCCGTCGCCGCCGCCGCCGCCGCCGCCTGAGGAGGAGACGCACCACCCCGGGCCACGCCGATGACTACTGCAAACTGTGGCGCCCACGACGAGCTCGACTTCAAACTCGTCTTTGGCGAGGACGGGGCGCCGGCGCCGCCGCCCCCGGGCTCGCGGCCTGCAGGTGGGTGTCGCGCCGGGCGCGACTGTGGAGCGTCCCCTCTCCTTCCTCACGCGAGCCCGTCCTTTCTCCGGTCCCTGGTTGTCCGGGGACCGGTAACCCCGTGTGTGTGTGTGTGTGTGTGTGTGTGGCGAGTGAAGATGGATTGAATTCCAGGAGGAGGCGTGTGGATCGCTGCGACGTGGAAGTGGCCTCGGGCTTGGCTAGAAGTGAACTGGGGGGGGGGGGGGGGAGTTGGGGAGAACTCCAGACCGGGACGTTAAAGGCCGGAGGACGCTCGGAGTTTGGAGGTTGAGGGTCGGGGCCTCGGCCCAAGTGGTGTCTGTTAGTCGTTGCTTTTTGCCAGCGTGGTGTAGAGAAAATGCCCCTGTAAAGTGTAGGTTCACTTGGGTCTTCATCATCTGTTTTAGTTTGTTAAAAATATATATATAAAAGATGCACATTCTTGGTGTATAGGGGCCCTTTTAAATTCGTATACCTGTTTCTTGAAATCTGCTTTGCTGGGAGATTGTTTTCGGCTAACTTAAAATTGTACACGTTTATGGGCCATGCTGACTTCGAAGTGTAACGTTAACGGGACTTGTGGAAACAGTTTCCTGGCCTGAGCAAAAGCGTTTCAGATTTTCTTTTTAACAACAACACCACTCTTTCTTATTTTTCTAGAAAGTTATGGGAGTCAGTTGTTTTAAGAAAAAAAAAAACTCTTCTCGGCAGATATTTTAAAGGGGATCGTAAATTGGAAAAGCTGAGCACCATTATTCTGGCAGGTCAGACCAATCAGGAAATAGAAACAGGATGACTGGGGACTTGGAGCTCTCCGGTGACCTGGTTTGGAATATTGTGGTTCATCAAGTTCAGTTTCCCTATAACAAATGCAAGCGAACTTTAAAAAAAGGAAAAGATGTTTAATTCTCATTTATTCTTTCTGGGAATTAGGTGAATTATTTAATATTATTCATATTGATGTTCAGTAGGTCATTTCAGAATTGCTTTGAAAACCTTAGGTGACCATGAAGTCAAAAGGATTCTCTGGGCAGTATATTATTTGCTTTATCAGTTCACTTTTAGTCTTTGTACCTTAGATGTCTTTTTCAACTTAATAAATAATTTATAATAGCTATGTGTTGGATGCAGTTATTTTCAGTTCCACTAACATTTGAGCACTTACTGTTTTGAAGGTAATATTAGATACTTTATAATGTTGCTGGTGCATAGAGAACTGAAGCTTCTCAAGGACTTGGGGAAAGAAATAGTTGGAAGGTACACATAACATAAATTACATGCTATAGGCAGATGGAATTGTGATGCATTTTAAAATTAAGAAGCAAGAAAGCTGTTATTTTTGGAGAGAATGGCATTGTACTTAGGTTATTGAGACTGAACAAAGTAGCTTAATGAGTGTTATATATAATATAGTTGGCAAACTTGTGTTGGCATAAGCTTGGTTGGAGCACATTATATATTAAACAGATCAATGAAAGTGTGAACCAAAATAAATAATAAAAGAATGTCAACATTTAAGTAGGAATTGTATGTACATTCAAGTTATTAAAGTACATTTAAGAACCATGAAAATAGCTTTTTAGATCATTTTGCTAAAGAAAAACATTTTGATACTTAAAGGGAGTCTAGAAGAGCCAGGCTGAGGCCTGGAGCCTGACCTGGGAGGATTTGAAGTGAGCCCCAGCAGAAAAGTCTGCTAGTCCAATTTACTAGTAAAGTGTTGGATTGGAGACATGATCCAAGTGATAAAGCACTAGCCTTGAGCAAGAAGGCCAAGGGAGAAAGAGTACCAAGCCTTGTGTTCAACTCCCAATACTGGCACACAGAAAGTCTAGAAAGAATTAAAGTTTGTAAGTTGATTTGTATATAATTTCCATGTGTGAACATAAATAATTTCATTTGCAACTAGAAGTTCATTTGAAATAGTCTAGCATGTAATTTTAAAAGTTCCTAAAGAAAATTAACTGAAATACTTATGAATGAATAAATCATCTTGAAATGAACATTTTAGTGACAGTTAAAATTTAGTATTGCGGGGCTGTGAAGGTGGCTCAGTGGTAGAGCGCTTGCCTTGCATGCCTGAGGCCCTGGGTTCGATTCCTCAGCACCACATAAGCAGGAAAAAAAAGCCGAAGTGGCACTGTGGCTCAAGTGGTAGAGCGCTAACCTTGAACTGAAGAGCTGAGGGGCAGCGCCCAGGCCTAGAGTTCAGGCCCACGATCAGACCTACCCCTCCCCCCCCCCAAAAAAAATAAAATTTAGTATTGCATGGGTGCTGGTAGCTCACATCTGTAATCCTGGCTACTAAGGATGCCGAGGAGTATCCCTGTTTGAAGCCAGCCCCGGCAGGAATTAACCACCAAAAATCTGGAAGTAGAACTGTGGCCTAACTGGTATAGTGCTATCCTTTAGTGAAAAAGCTGAAGGATATAGCTTCCAGGCTCTGAGTTCAAGTCCCAGTACTGGCACTCTCCCTAAAAAAAGGAAAAAGAAAAAAAGGATCTCCATTTCTGCACACACAAATAAATGCACACACCACAATTTGTTCCCTTCATCCATTGATGGGTTGTTTCTACCCTTGGCATTTCCGAACATCAGAGCTAAGTTATTGGAATTTTTTATTCACAAAATTAGTGGGGGGGTTTTGTAGTCTTTTTTTGGCCGGTCCTGGAACTTGAACTCTGGGCCTGGTACTGTCCTGACTGAACTCCTTAGCTCAAGGCAAGCACTCTACTACTTGAGCCACAGCTTCACCTCTGGTTTTCTGGTGGTTTATTGGAGATAAGAGTCTCACGGAGTTTCCTGCCCTGGCTGGCTTTTGAATCCTGATCTTCAGATCTCAGCCTCCTGAATAGCTAGGATTATAGGCATGAGCCACCAGCACCCAGCTTCACAAAATTCGTTTTTTTATTTTAATAAGTGTAATTGTGAATACAGGATTTAGTTTGAAGTACTCAAGTGTATTAACTGAAAGCTTTTAGGAAGTTATGTGCAGGCAAGTAGGTCATGAGAATAAAATTGCTTGATTAGAATTCAAATTGTTGTTGGGTTGTATTAGTGTGTTTGTTTTTGATTTTCTTCTTCTCTGGAATGTAATTTCCTTGAGAGAAAAAACAAGGCCTGAACATTGTTTGTAGTTGTATTATTAGTACCTTTATATATTTGACACCTAGTATTTGTTAAATTAATGAATAAATACTAAAGTTTTGAGTCAACATTCACTGTCTTTTTGTTTTTTGTTTTTTTGGTCTGGTCGTGGGGCCTGAACTCTGGGCCTGGGCGCTGTCCCTCAGCTCTTTAGCTCAAGGCTAGTGCTCTACCAATTGAGCCACAGTGCCACTTCCAGCTTTTTTTTTTTCTGCTTATGTGGTGCTAAGGAATTGAACCCAGGGCCTCATGCATGCAAGGCAAGCGTTCTACCACTGAGCCACCTTTCCAGCCCTCACTGTTTTTTTGTGGTAGAGGAAGTTGATGAACATTGTTTGAGATCTTTGGATTTTATTGGTTCCATAAAATAGCAGCTCTTGTTAATTTTGTCCTTCTGTCAGAAGGTTTGAAAGTACTTGGGGGTACACTTAAATTTCAGTAGAGGGAAAAGATTTTGAAAAATATTAGGTGGGAGGAGGTAGTAGAGAGATGACAAGCTAAGGAACTGGATTTAGCAAGTGCCCCAAGCAAGCTTGTTTGAGTGTACATTAAATTATTCAAGGTGCATTTGGTAACATTGAATAGATTTGTGACTTTTTTTATGTTTGTACTGGGGTTTACATTGAGGTCCTTCTGCTGCTGGTGGAGCTTCCCACCCCTCACAGCTTGTATTCCACCATAAGTCCAGCCTTTCCCCTTGTTATTTGGAGATAAGAATCTCCTGGATTTTTCTGCCTGGTCAGGCTTCAGAATCACTGGGGGGCTATGAAGGCTATGTACTATAAGGTAGGTAGGGTCTTTTCTTCTTCTCCTTCTTCCTCTTCTTCCTCCTCCACCTCCTTTTCCTCCTTATTCCCCTCTTTTTTTTTTTTTTTGGTGTGGATTGTGGGGCTTGAATTAAGGGCCCCAAGCACTGTCCCAGAGCTTTTTTGCTTACGGCTACCACTTGGAGCCAAAGCTCCACTTCTGGTTTTTGGATGGTTAATTGGAGATAAGAGTCTCACACACTTTCCTGCCTGGGTTGGCTTTGAACTTGGATTCTCAGGTCTCAGCTTCCTGTGTAGCTAGGATTAAAACTGTGAGCCATTAGTGTCTGGCTGTAGTGTCTTTTCTAAGAGAGCAGAAATAGATATAATAATGCATCTTAGTAAGAAATTTACTTTGTTATAGGAGATATATGTATATATTTTTTTGCTGGTCGTGGGACCTGAACTCTGGGCCTGGGCACTGTCCCTCAGCTCTTCAGCTCAAGGCCAGCGCTCTACCACTTGAGCCACAGCACCACTTCCAGCTTTTTCTGCTTATGTGGTGCTAAGGAATCAAACCCAGGGCCTCATGCATGCAAGGCAAGCAGTCTACCACTGAGCCACCTTCCCAGCTCCATGAGATAAATATTCTTATCAGATGTTTAATACATGTTTCATATGTGACATTGCCTTAGAGTACAACTTACTTTAATTTGGTACTTGGAGATCTGATTCATATGTTCATTATAATTTTACTGTCTCAGGCAATTTATTTTGTAGCTTTGTAGTATTTATATATTTGGTTTTGTGACAGAGTCTCACTGTGTAGCCCAAGTAAGCCTCCTCTAGAGATCCTCTTGCCTCAGTCTTCTGAGTGCTGGGATTATAGGCGTGTACCATCATACCTAGATCACTTTTTTTTTTTTTGGGTCCCGTTGTGGGGCCTGAACTCTGGGCCTGGGCGCTGTCCCTCAGCTCTTCAGCTAAAGGCTAGCACTCTACCACTTGAGCCACAGCATCACTTCTGGCTTTTTTCTTATGTGTGCTGAGGAATCGAACCCAGGGCCTCAAGCATGCAAGGCAAGTGCTCTACCACTGAGCCACCTT